TTTCTCTGTCTCTCTCTCTCCCTGTCTGTCTGTCTGTCTCTCCCTGTTTGTCTCTCTCTCCCTGTCTGTCTGTCTGTCTCTCCCTGTCTGTCTGTCTCTCCCTGTTTGTCTGTCTCTCCCTGTCTGCCAGCACCCCACAGCTCTGTGTCCTCCAGAGTACATGGTGTGTTTTCTGCACCGTCTCCTGACGGCGGTGAGGAGCTGCTGGGACGAAGGCAGCAGGAAGAGTCCGGGCAGCCTCAGCAGTGAAGGTAGGGCAGGCTCCTCAGGTAGACCTCACCTCACGTGTCTGTGGATTCTGTTTCAAGTGTCCCCCTGTTGGTTCTGCTGCTCCTGTTTTTGTTCTGATCCATTTCTCGTCTCACTGAGCGTGTCTCATCCCTCTGCAGGGGCCTACGTCCCCCCGCAGCTCTTCTACAACGGGAAGGTGGACTTCTTTGACCTGCAGAGACTGGGGGGGCTCCTGTCCCACCTGAAGAAGACTCTGAAGGGTGGGTCTCTGTCTCTGTGTCCCTGAGACGTTGGACACACCTGTCCACCTGTTGGTTCCAGGTGTCTGGAGGCCAGCAGGTCTTAGTGTTTGCAGTCTGACCTTTGACCCGTGAAGGCAAACGGGTGTGTTTGGGTCAAAAGTAAAACTGAGTCCGTGACCTTCGACCCGTGTTCTGATTGGTTCCAGATGACCTGGCCAGTAAAGCCAACATCATCATCGACCCGGCTGAGATTCAGAACACCTCTATGGACGACCTGGACGAGAACGAGGAGAGCGGAGCCGCACAGGTTAGATCGGGTCAGAACCATCAGAACCGCCTAATGTTAGTCCAGAAATCAGTCCTGTTTTCCCCTCACAGAGGCCTTTTGGAGCTGCAGCCATGGGAGCGGCTCTGGCCCGACCCAGCTGGCTGAGTTCTCCCACTTTGGGTCGGGCCAACCGGTTCTTGAGCACGGCCGCCGTCAGCCTGACGACACCGAGACGACCCCTGTCCCAGCCCGAGAAGGTGAAGGTCCGAACCCTGGCTGTGGAGCAGCGTACCGAGGAGGACAGTAAGTTCTGATCCAACTGGACCACACAGCAGAACCACACTTCTGACCTGGTCCAGAACTTTAACCTCCAACAGAACCAGGTTTGGTGTCCGGTGAGCACACTCAATGTGTAACTTCCTGTGTCCTGTCCCTGGGTGTCCTCTCTGTCCTGCAGTCGAAGGAAGCCTCGGTACCGACGGCCTGTTGCTGGGCCGACCGCAGGAAGAACCGGATCAGACGGTCGCAGACAAGTCTTTACTGGAGATCCTGGACGGGATCGTGATGATGTACAACCTGAGCGTCCATCAGCAGCTGGGCAAGGTCGGTCCAGTTCACCAGAACATTACATCTTCTTAGAACCAGCCCAACCTGAACAGAACATTACGTCTTAGAACCAGCCCAGCCTGAACAGAACATTACATCTTCTTAGAACCAGCCCAACCTGAACAGAACATTACGTCTTAGAACCAGCCCAGCCTGTAGTTCTTGTTGTTTTAGTTTTGTAGTTGTTCTTGTTGTTGAAGTTGTGGTTGTTTTTGGAATAGTTGTTGTATTCAGAGTTGTAATGATAATTTGTTGTTGGCTTCGTTGTTGATGTTGTAGTTTTAGTAGTTGTTTTAGTTTTACTTGTTGTAGTTTGTGTAGTTGTTGTTGTTGTGGTTGTTGTTGTAGTTTTTAAGTTCAGTTTGTTTCTGTAGCTCCATCAGAAGTCGTCTCAGGACACTGAACAGAAACATTCACAGACATCTTGAAAGACAATCAGTAAAAGTTCTCTGGAAGCAGCAGATTGTGTTGAATCTTCACTTCGTCACAATCGCTCATCCTGAGCAAGCACAAAGGATGGAACAATGAGATCTGTAATATAAGATGGAGCTAGGATGTTGAGAGCTTTGTAGGTTAGAAGTAAGATTTTGAATTCAATTCTGGATTTGACAGGGAGCCAGTGGAGAGAAGCTAAAACTGGAGAGATATGATCTCTCCCAGTAACTCCAGTTAAGACTCTGGCAGCAGCATTTTGGATCAACTGAAGACGTTTTAAAGAAGTATTTGGACACCCAGATAATAAACCATTGCAATAGTCCAGTCTAGATGTGACAAATGTATGAACCAGTTTTTCTGCATCAGTTTTAGATGTTTCTAATGTTAGTGATATTACGCAGGTGGAAGAAGGAGGTTCTAGTAACATTTTTAATGTTGGGGATAAAAGACATGTCCTGATCAAAAATAACACCAAGATTTATAACATTAGAGCTGGAGGACAGATTAATGTCATTTAAGGAGGGAGAAAGACTGAAAAATGTATTCATAAGATGCTCAGGTCCAAAAACCAAAACCTCTCTCTTGTCTGAGTTCAAAAGCAGAAAATTTAGGGTCATCCAGATTTTTATGTCTTCAAGACGTTTGTAGTCTAAGTAGCTGATTGGATTCTTTGGGTTTCATGGACAAATATAACTGTGTCAGAGTCAGAGCTTTTTCATCATTCGCACCTCATGTGGTACATGTGCTGGAACGAAATTGTGTACACAGGGTCCCAGTTATATCCAACAATAAAATGTAAAAAGAAAAACAGTAGTAAAATCTAAGATATGAACCAAGAAAAATGCCAACTAAAAATACGCTGTGGCACTAATAGCATAAAAACAATACGCCTAACAGCGTAATCATCAGCATAACAATTAAAATATATTCTGTTCTGTTTAATAACTTTACCTAGTGGAAACATATATAAAGTAAAGAGTATTGGTCCAAGCATTGAGCCTTGAGGAACTCTATGACTAACTTTGGTGTATGATGAAGATTACTTTTTTACATTTACAAATTGGAATCTATCAAATAAATATGATTTAAACCAATTTAGAGCTATTCCTGTAATTCCAATATCATATTCAAATCACTGTAGTAGAATATTGTGATCAACTGTATCAAATGCAGCACTGAGGTCTAACAGGACCAGTGTAGACCTGTCCATTGTCAGAGGCCATGAGAATATCCTTAGTAAATTTCACCAGTGCAGCTTCAGTGATGGTGAGCTCTAAACCCTGACTGAAACTTCTCACACTTTTACTTGTTCTAGCTGTTGTTTTAGTAGTTGTAGTTGTGGTTGTTGTAGTTTTTGTTGTGTACTGGATTTATACACTCTCACAGCAGCAGGAACATGTTCCCACAGCTGTGGTGACATAAAAAAGTAAAGTCCCTGATTTGAAACGATCAGATGCTGAGATCCAGAATCTTCTTGATTGTACAGAGTCATTCTAAAACTCTCATCTTGCTTTCTGTCAGCTTATTAACAGAGGGTAGCCATGATGGATGGATCCATCCTGCTGCTTCTGATAGGCTCATCTCTCAGAGGTTCTCTCCTGTCTGCTCCTGAAACACATCATTTATCTCTAAGTTTGACCTCCAGGCCTCTGACTGCTGCAGGGTCCACAGCTGCAGATGTCCTCTCAGAGACAGACTCATAAACTGTTGATGTTCCTTCACCAGGACTCCAGCTCTGACAGTTCTTGTCTCCTGCAGATGGTGGTGGTGGCAGATGAAGTCCATGAATATGCCGTGGCTCTGAAGGACACGGAGGAGAAGATCGCTCGATGTCCTGCCAGAGTGAGAACAAGATTTCTGTTCCCGTCACAGTCAGCTGATTTCAGCTTCTGTTAGTTTGTTCCTCCTCAGAGTTGGACCTCTGCTGGGGGGAGTCCGGGGGTGTTCATCTTAAAAATGTGTTCATCTAGAAACTCTCGGCTTCAACATCCACTCCTTTTATTTTCTGAAGCCCAACATGAACCTGAGACTTATTTTTGTAATAATCAAGCTGTGACAGAGCCAGACTCTTATTTTGAAGAGTGTCTGTGAGATTTATTTTAAAACTCCAAGTTCAGACCTCATCTTGTTTCTCTGACTTTTAATCCCAAGTCCTGCCGGCCCTCAGGATGGGCAGGATCCTGAGGGCCACCATGATCCAGAGTGTTGGCAGGATCCAGAGTGCCAGCAGGATCCAGAGTGCCAGCAGAATCCTGATGGCAGGCAGGATCTAGAGAGTCAACTGGATCTAGAGGGTCAGCTGGCTCCAGCTGGCCCTCTATATCCTGAGGAGGTTTTTTCAGCACCAACACTGCTGAAGGAATAGACTGAAAATCCAAACAGAAACGGAAGAAAATTGTTGGAATGGTTACAGTGGACTCCAGTGGTTGTGTACTGGCTCCATTAATTAAAGCAGTCAAGCAGAACCTTCAGTGGACTTCTGTACGACCCGCAGCAGCCTGACAATGTGCGATGTGTCTTCTGTTTGTTGTTGGGTTAATGAGGCGTCCTCCTTTCAGCTGTCAAAGCCGCTCATTAGCAAAAAAACAAAACAACAAACAAACAAAGGAGACAATTCTATGAAGTCGTTAAGGAGTTGGTCTCAAGTAGGAGGGATGAAGATGATCAGTAGCTTCATGCCAACAGTTCTTTCAGGTTTTTATATCTTAGCTTCCATCCACCCTTCAGGTCAGGCTGGAGAAGTTTTTCTTCATGTAGCAAAGGTGACAAGCAATTACTGCGAGGCATACAAACATTTTGGACTGACGGGGCTTCAGACTGGCTTCCGTTATCTGATTAATATTTTCCAAATTGTCCCAACTTCATCATATTTTTATTGTTTTATGAATCATGTGGCCTGGTCAGAGGTAACCGGGTTTGTTGTCTGCAGAGATGCTTACTGGTCCCAGGTCAGTGTGTTCTGTGATCCAGATCTTTGAGGAAATCTAAGTGTAAAGTATTTCTGTTTTATTTACATGAATAAGAGCTCAGATTTGAAACGGGAAGTGACTCTGTCCTGTGTGTTTCAGCGTGCTGACATCCTGGACGAGCTCCAGAAGAGTCAGAAGGTCTTTGCAGAGAAGCTGAACCACCTGAGCCGCAGACTGGCCTGGATCAATGCCACCATCTACTCCAAGGTGTTCGGGTCTGTTTACAGTTTGTTTTGGTCCATCTGCAGTTCGGCTCTCTCATGTTTGTCTATGTGCAGGAGAAGATGCTGGATGTTTACTGGCTGCTGTGTGTATGCATTCGCACCATCGAACATGCCGACAACACTGGCTCCCTGTTTGCCTTCACCCCGGAGTTCTATTTGAACGTGGCCATGAACGCGTACAGCGCCCTGAAGAACTACTTTGGCCCTGCCAACAGCATGGAGGAGCTGCCAGGTAAGACACGTGAAAAGCCTGGTAAAGGACGTCACATTCCAGGTAAAACTCATTATAAGCCAGGTACAACAGGCTATAAACCAGATATAACAGGTCATAGACCAGGTACAGCAGGTCATAGCCCAGGTACAAAGGTCATAGCCCAGGAACAACAGGCTATAAGCCAGATATAACGGGTCATAAACCAGGTTCAATGGGTCATAGACCAGATATAACTGGTCACAGACCAGGTACACCAAGTTATAGCCCAGGTACAATAGGTCATAGCCCAGGTACACAGGTCATAGACCAGGTACAATAGGTCATACACCAGGTACAAAAGGTCATAGACCAGGTTCAATGGGTTATAGCCCAGGTGCAATAGGTCATAGACTAGGTACAACAGGTCATAGACCAGGTTCAGTGGGTCATAGACCAGGTTCAGTGGGTCATAGACCAGGTACAGCAGGTCATAGACCATGTACAATAGGTCATAGACCAGGCAGAACAGGTCATAGACCAGGTGCAACGGGTCATAAACCAGGTACAACGGGCCATAGACCAGGTACAACGGGTGATAGTCTAGGTTCAATGGGTCATAGATCAGGTACAACGGGTCATAGACCAGGTAAAACACCACACCACCCTGACTTGTGAATCACATGGGATTGTGCTGATGTTGCTGAGACTCTGCCCCCACACCACTGCTTTAGATCTGGTCTTCATGTCAGCAACAGGACTTTCTGCTGTTGTGTGTGTGTGCGTGTACCATATCATACCATACCAACTTTATTTATAGAGCACTTTATGCACCCAACAGGACCAAAGTGCTTTACACAATTATATAATAAAATACAATGATAAAATGGAAGGGTAAAATTTAAAACAGGAATAGAATAAAAATAAAATACAAACACAATAAAACAAGGTAAAACATCTCAGATTGTGCTAAAAGGCCAAAGAAAAAAGATGAGTTTTAAGAAGGGACTTAAAAACCTCAATTGAAGAGGCCTGTCTTATGTTCAATGGAAGGTCATTCCAGAGCCTGGGAGCTATCACAGAAAAAGCTCGGTCCCCTCTAAGCTTACGCTTTGTCTTCGGGACCTTCAGAAACAACTGGTCAGCTGACCTGAGTGAACGAGAGGGTGTGTAAGAATGTAGCAGCTCAGACAGGTATGGAGGGGCATGGCCATTTAAAGCTTTAAAAACAAATAAAAGTATTTAAAATGAATCCGGTAATGCACCGGCAACCAATGTAAAGAGGCCAAAACAGGAGAAATACTGTCAAATTTCCGTGTACCTGTTAAAAGTCGTGCAGCTGCATTCTGAACCCTCTGAAGCTGGGAAATACATGAATCACTAATACCTATGTAAAGTGCATTGCAGTAATCTAGCCGTGTGGTCACAAATGCATGGATTGCTGTTTCAAAATGCTGTCTGGGAAGAATTGGTTTTACTTTAGCCAGCTGCCTCAGTGTGTGTGTGTGCGCGTGTGTGTGTGCAGCCTCACATGAACAAAACTTTTTTTTTACCATCAGGCTACGAGGAAACGCTGACGCAGCTTGCAGCTATCCTTGCCAAGCACTTTGCAGACCCTCGCATCGTTGGAACAGGTAACACACACACACACACAGACACAACAACAACAAACAATTACCCACAACACGGTTCAAAGTTTTTTATTGTCATTCGCATCACATGTGGTACATGATGTGGAATGAAATTATGTATGCAAAGTCCCATTACACCCAAAAATAACAAAAATATAAAGAATAAAAAGAAACAGTGTATAAGGATCTAGGATATACGCTAAACACTAATAATGTAAAATAATACGGTATAAAACAGCAGCCTGAACATGAGTCTGTATTGAGCAAATGGGTATGAATATAGCAGCTTAAAAGCCAGAGATCAGCAGCATGAGATAATCAGCAGCACAGATAAAGTTAAAGTGGCATTACATTGATTATCCTAGTTAGAGATTCATGAGTCTAACAGCCTCAGGGTAGAAGCTGTTCCTCAGTCTAGTGCTTCTACACTTAATGCTCCTCAACCTCCTTCCTGAGGGGAACGGGGAAAAAAGTGTGTGTGCTGGGTGAGTGGGGTCCTTCATGATGCGGGTGATCCTCTTCCTGCATCTGGAGGTGTAAATGTCTGTGATGGTGGGGAGGCTGACTCCAACATCTTCACATGCACACAATTACACACAACGCACAGTTACACACAATTACACAATTACACATCACACACACAGACGCACACAAGGACCATCAGGAACCAGCAGCAGGGACCAGCAGAGACCAGCAGGGACCAGCAGCAGAGGTTCTTCAGGAAGATTTCGGAGTCTTTCACTGATTTGTGTCTCCTTTGTTGTTGCAGATATCAAAGACTCTCTGATGCAGGCACTAGCCAGCTACGTCTGTTACCCACAATCCCTCAGGGCAGTGGAGAGGATCCCAGAGGAGCAGTAAGTTTTGTCTCAGTTAGTCCAGAATCCTGGTCTGGACCTGCTGGTCCTGCTGTATGTCAGAAACTAGTCATCAGTTTTTAGAACGAATGCAGTTCTGGTTCCTGCTGACAAATGTTGGTTTCAAGCTCTGAACAGTTCTGTGCATCAGTCTTCTGATGTCTCCCACTGCATTGTGGGTAATTACATCATCTGTTCTGCAGTCAACACCTTTCATCAAAATAAAGGACCTGATTCAGCACCAACTGGAGACGTTAGGAAGGTTTTATGGGTTTCAAGGAACACAAGAACCAAGTTCAAGTCTTCTTTACAGGTCTTGGTCCAGGTCCAGGTCTATGTCTACCTGCAGTGATCTGTGTTGGTGTTTCCTTTCAGGCGAGTGGCAATGATGAGGAACCTTCTGGCTCCGTACGAGCAAAGACCCTGGGCTCAGACCAACTGGATCCTGGTCCGACTGTGGAGGGTGAGCCCCCCCCCCCCCACACACACACACACACATGCCGTTTTTGATCCAATGTAAAAACATTCAACTTTTTTTACTTGAGGTATTCTCCGTGTTTGGTTCTTCTGACCCCTGGGATTCTGGTCTTGGATTCTAGTCTTCAGTCCAACTCTAGACCCTGATCAGAAAGTTTAGACCTCTTCCTCTCTAACGTGCCCTTCCTCCCTCAGGGCTGTGGTTTTGGCTACAGATACACTCGTCTTCCTCACCTGCTGAAAACCAAACCTGAGGACGCCAACTTGCCCAGCCTGCAGAGTGAGTACTGGTCTGGACCAGAACCTCCACAGCTCAGAACGATAAAAATCAAGGTTCTGACTCAGTCTGTCAAACCAGGTCTGTCAAACTGGTTCCCTAAAAAAGTTTAGTTTTCCACAGCTTGAGCCAACTCAAAACCAGATCTCAGTTCAAACAGAAAGACCTGGAGCAGCCTGAAACTTGATTCCTGTTTAGAACTGGAACCCGTTAAGACCCAGAGACCCCGGCTCTGGTTCCTGGTTACAACTGGAACCTGTGAAGACCCAGTGATCCTGGCTCTGGTTCCTGGTTACAACTGGAACCTGTTAAGACCCAGAAACCCCAGCTCTGGTTCCTGGTTAGAACTGGAACCCATTAAGACTCAGAGACCCCGGCTCTTCTGGACTGGTTTTCTTGTTATTCCTGGGTTTTAAACAAGTCAAACAGGAAGTGTCAGGACATCAAACGCTGTCAGTTTCTCATTCCTGTTTCGCTCCACTTCATTTCTTCGGATGTTTTATTTTTAATCTGTTCTTTTCCATAAATAACTGGAGGTTTATTTTAGCGCAGCTTTGATGTCGTCTGTGCTCGTTGTGGAGGGTTCTGCTGATGGTTTGGTTCTGTCAGGAATGGAACCAGCAGGTTTACCATCATGGACTGAGCAGAAGCTTCAGACCCACCAACAGATTCTCCAGAATGTCATTTATTTCATGTTTGTTGTCTCATTTGTTTTTCTTTCTGTCCTGAGCTCCGTCTGTCTGCATGCCTTGCAGGAGATCTGTCCGTTGCTAGTTTCCAAAGTAAGTTCTGGTTCTGTTCCTCCTTTAGTCCCCTCAGAGGTCAGCTGTTGGTGCCGTTTGTTCTGCTCCGCTGCCGTCAGCGTCCATGTTCTGTCAGCAGGGATTAAAGGTGGTTTAGGATTCAGCTCAATTAAAAAGCAGCAACACATCAACTGGATCAGACCCAGAAAGATCAATAAGACTGGTTCAGACTCCTGGGTCCGGCTGATCGGACAGGACGTCTCCAGTGCAGCCCACAGGTTTTTCACTGCAGAGCACTCAGAACATTTACACTCCAGATTTTTAATCTCTGCAGATTAACACGAAGAAACTCTGAGGAAGCCTTCATGTGATCAGATTCATTCAGATGAAAATCATCTCAGAACAAAAAGACCAGAAGACCAGACGACCAGAAGACCAGACGAACAGAAGACAAGAAAACCAGGCGACCAGAAGACAAGAAGACCAGACGACCAGAAGACAAGAAGACCAGATGACGAGAAGACAAGAAGACCAGATGACCAGAAGACCAGATGACCAAAAGACAAGAAGACCAGATGACCAAAAGACAAGAAGACCAGGCAACCAGAAGACAAGAAGACCAGACGACCAGAAGACAAGAAGACCAGATGACCAAAAGACAAAAAGACCAGAAGACCAGACGACGAGAAGACGAGAAGACAAGAAGACCAGAAGACGAGAAGACAAGAAGACCAGACGACCAGAAGACAAGAAGACCAGACAACCAGAAGACAAGACCAGACGACCAAAAGACAAGAAGACAGGAAGACCAGAAGACCAGACGACCAAAAGACAAGAAGACCAGATGACCAGAAGACAAGAAGACCAGACGACCAGAAGACCAGACGATCAGAGGATCAGACGACCAGACGACCAGAAGACCAGATGACCAGATGACCAGAAGACCAGACGACCAGAAGACAAGAAGACCAGACGACCAGAAGATCAGACGACCAGAAGATCAGACGACCAGAAGACCAGACTTCAGCAGCAGAAAACGTGTCAGGAAGTAATAAATCTCAATCCTTCTTCTGTTTCTGACATGACTTTGATTCTCCAGCGTGTCCATCAGGAGCTCTGACACCATAAAAACGGTCAAAATGTCCCCCAGACGGGCGTGGAAGGTTAAAGCCGGTCCTGTGTGGACCTCCAGCTCAGACTTCAGAACCATCATCAGAGTTTAACCGGGTCACAGGAAGTTGGACTGAGCTGTTTTCAGAACTTGGAACTATTTTAACATGATCCCAGCTGAACATGGAGGATTTAATGTTCATCTTAGAGTCTGATGTCACAAACACTTTGAATTCTTCTTCTCCACTTTCCCCATCCAACCAGAGTCTCTGGAGTACTGATGGTTCCTCTCAGAGGTCAGAGGTCAACACCCAAACTCCTGTTGACTTTCACTGTATCTGAGCTCAAAAAACAGGAAGTGAAGGCTCTGTTCAACTTCTCCTCCATCAAACCCTGTAGAACCATCAAACAGAACCTGTGGTACCACCAGAACCTTCTGCTGCTCACAAGTCAAGAAGTTCTTTGATCATATGTCTGAGACTTACTTTTCACTCTGGGTTTCTGTCTGATCTGCTGCTGTGTGAAGCCCCTCCCCATTTTAATCACCATGGCAGCCAGTGACTCAACAGGTTGTTGGTCTTCTATATTACCCAGCATGCTTTTCTTTCTCTGTTTCCATCATGGCTGCCCCCAAAGATCCTTCATGTGTCTGATTGGACCTCTGGTGTTCAGGAGGATTCAGTCAGAGGGTCTGCGGGAAACAGGAAAAGGACTAAACCTGGACTTTCAAAACAAGAGTCTGGCTCTGTCACAAATTAGATTATTACAGAGGATGTCCTGACTTCCTGTTGGACTTTAGAGAAGAAGGTTCATGGATGTTGAAGCTGCTTTGGTGTCCTTCAATATTTCTGCAAAACAAATTTTTATTGTTACAGAACAATCAGCCGATCAGACAGTTCTGTTTAGAACCCGTCCATCTACAGTCTGTTGACGTTAAAGGCAGGTACAACATGAAGCTTTGACCTTTGACCTCCTGTGAGACACAGCAGAAACAGAACAAACAGTCCAGTCCTCAGAGTGTCCATTTGTCCTCCTCCTTTGTGTCCTCTGTCCCTGTGCTGTTTGGACCTGTCCACTCGTCTTGTCAGCTCAAACTCTGACCCAGTTTCCTTCCATCGTCTCTGTCTGACCTCCACCTGAGAGGCCGGTCCCTGTACTGGTCCCTGACAGTTAGGTCTGCTGAGTCTGGTCCCTGTACTGGTCCCTGACAGTTTGACCTCCTGAGTCTGGTTCCTGTACTGGTC